GCCTTGGCCTCGTCGACGAGACCGAGCTCGAGGAGCAGCTGCACAGAGCCACGGATGCCGGACTCGAGAGCCGAGGAGATCCAGGCGTGCGTGTAGGAGGTGTGCTCGCCGATGAAGATCATCTGCATCAGTGTTAGTCCAAGTCAAAGGATTTTCAAAACGGGGCTGGTCACTCACGTTGTCGTACGTCTTAAAGTACTCGGGAATGTACAGCTGGTGCTGGCCAGCAACGGGGCTGACCCAGGAACCGCTCTCGAGGGGGTCGAGCACCCAGCAGCGACGGTTGTAGTTGCCGGTGTACAGCTCGCGGGTGTTCTCGCCGTGGATCTCGACCATGGCGTCGAGGACGTACTGCACGTGCTCCGCCTCGGAGACGGACGCCCAGCGGTGGCCCCAGTCGCCGGAGATGTAGCTGGCGAGCATCGTCGCCTTGCCGGTGCCGTTGATGTTGTAAGAAGGGTAGCAGGTGGAGCCGATGCCCGGGATGTCGGAGGTGGTGCTGCAGCCGCCGACGATGGGGTTTTCGTAGTGCTCCCAGAAGCGCTCGGAGAACTCGAGGGCGACCTTGCAGGCGCTGGTGTAGGGGAGCTCCTTGATGGCGTTGGAGATGGTCAGGGGCAGGGAGGGGAGGCGCCACTTGCGGATGATGGAGAAGGGGACGGCCATCAGCGCGTAGTCGTAGGAGGCATTCTGGAACGTCTTCTCGGTGAAGTTGTTGCGCCACTGGAGGTTGACTTTGGAGTCCTCCGTGAACTGCACGCGCTCGATCTTGCGATCCATGGTGGTCACATCGTCGACGAGAGGGTGGAAAGACAGGGGCAGACGGCTAAGTCCACCGTCGATGGTCCTGTAGGTCGCGGCCTCGAAGTACATGCCCTCGTAGAGGGTGTCCCAGAAGGAGGTAGCGGAGTACATGCCGAGGGCGTCGGTGGAGTTGAGGGAGCCCTTAAGGTAGTTCACCATGAAGGCGTACTCGGACCAGGTGTCGCCGCCCAGGCCATTCAGGCCGTTGCGAACCCACTCGCCGTGGGCCTTGTACATGTTCTTCGCCATGGCGACAGAGAAATCGCTGCCGGGCATGTACTTCTCCTCCTCCGCGGAGAGAGCATTGGTGGCATCGTCGTAGACGGTCGCGACGGCGAGCGAGGAGTTGGCGGAGATCTGGGCGAGAGTAGGGGGCAGACCGTTGGCGAGCTTGATGCCGTTCTTGTAAGACAGGCCGTTGACGTTGGACTGGATCCAGGGGATGAAGTCGACGCTGAGGTTCTTGTCGTGGTTGTTGAGCTCGTTCATCTCGGCGGCGAGCTGGAAGACGAGCTGGTGGTCAGAGATGTTGTAAGTGGCGTTGGTCTTGGGGTCGACGTAGGTCTCGGGGAAGCGCATTGGGCCCATCTCCTGGTAGGAGTAGTCAAAGGGGCCGCCGGAGAGGTACTCGGTGTGCACACGACCGCCGAGGCGCTGGCCGGCCTCGATGATGCTGATGTTGGTCATGCCTGCTTGAGACAGGACGAGGTAGGACATGAGTCCCGCCATACCGGCGCCCACGATGGCGATCTGCTTAGACTTGGCGGCGTCAACGTCCACGGCGGCAGGCTCCTTGTCCTTAAGGAGGTTAACACCCTCAAACCAGGCGCCGAGGGTATCGAAGCCAGTCTCGTTGCTCATGTGGATGGCTGGGCTGGTGTCAGTGTTTGAGTGGGATCGAGGGTAGTGGGCAAGGCTTACATCTCTTGGCAGCACGACGCTTCCAGCTGTGGTGAAGCGTCTGAGGCTCACTTCGGCCAACCAAGGAGCCGGAAACACTCCAAGCGGAGATACAGTCGTCAGAGTGGGCATCCTCGGGGAGGACCCAGACGAGGCGCTGGGAGTCGCGGACCTCGGACTTGACGATGGTATGGTGAGCATCGTCAAGAGAGACGCCGCGGCAGGATCCGTAAGTGAAGGTGACGGATCCATCAACGGGCTCTTCGATCGTCAGATGAATGTTGGAAACACGAGAAGTCACGGCGTGACGAGTCTCGAGCTTCAGGGGGAGACCAGAAGCAGCCGCGAGGGCGCTTCCGGCGACGAAGGAGAGGAGCCACCGAGACATTGCGAGATCAGAGGACCGAGTTGAGGCTGTCCAGGTAAGATTGGCGTGAGGAGAAGGGGTCTCTGGATATCTTCATGTTGGTGATACGCCCGCTGGTTTTTATAGACCTGCGATTACTATGTCGTCGATCCAGATGCCCGGGCCGGGACCGGTCTATGGACGTCTCTGTCCGACGCGCAAGACTCGCCGAATCACCACGGACAACAGCCTTGGAAGTGACCTGATCCATGAACATCACAATATTGGTCATCGAACACTTACGTGAGGCGGTGTCGGCTTGCGCAGCTTCGCAGGCTTACAGCAAACATCATCAAGATTCGCCTCGGACAGACAAAGAACCCATCCCATCGGAGAGTTTCCCGGTCGTTCAACTTAGCCTGAAGAAGCAGGTGCGAAAGAAATTCCATGTCGATTCTCCTAGAGAGCTCCACGGCTCACCATGTGGTGGCCATGCAGTTTGACGTTGCACAGAGCAGTCGTCGGGCGCGAGGGTCCCGAGTCATTGGGTGTGGTGTCTTATCTGTGGAGGCGGCGCAGGGCGGGAAGATAGGAACGGTTCCTTACCCTTCTTTACCCCGGTGGCGGGGCGATATCCCATCTGTCCCCGTCCTCTTGGCCTCCGGGTGCCGCAGTGGGGGAAACAAGGTGGACATGGGATGGAGAAGTTGTTTCTTGGGCATCGGTAGCGGGTTGTCGTCTGCGCCCTTTCGCCCTTTCGGCGCTCATTGTGGGAACGCAGCGGCGTGCGATGTAGAGAAACTGGGGTCGGAGTGTTGGTTCACCGGCTCTCTCCGAGACGTTGCGATAAGACAAACAAACATGTTGGTATATGTCAGCAAGAAGGCCGATGAGCGGCAGCAGCGATTCGTCGAGGTTTTGCAAAGAGACCTGGAGAAGAAGTGTTACATGATGATGACGGTCAGCAATTCGTAGATTGTCCCGCGTGTGTGCGCCCTGTGAGATTTGATAGACATGCAGGATGTTATGTTGTTAGATAGGGCGCGTACATCATCGAATGAAGCACCCCCCATATGCCTGAGAATGCCCTTGGCATCATCCTCCTGTCGCAAATGCGAGAAGCCCGTCAGACGGTATCCCATGTGTCCCGTTCGGTGTTCAAAAACCAGCTAGGACGCCGAGATGACACTTGTGACATCTCCGAGCAATTGACCGCGGGATGCAAATGCTCTCCGGTAACGGCTGATCCTAGAGGTGAATGGATATGCCCATCAGCTCCATCTGCAACTGAGCCGGCCCGGTTGTCAATATTTAATCAAAAATACAACGTAGTTTGACCCAGAAACAAGAAAGAATGCCTCTAAAGGAAGCTTTTGGCGACGCGAGATAAGCACAAATGCCGCACTTGCTGGACGGCAGGCAAAGAGAGAGACGGGAGCCACTGGCAACAGGCTGGAGTGAGTGCCGGACTCCACAAGAACATGTAATTGGTCGAGATAGCCAGTCCCGAATCCCACGGGTAGAGATAAGAGATGCGTCAATTAGTCTCGGCATGTGGGCGGGGCGGCAGCTGGTTGGAAGGTCCAAGAAGAAGCAAACAGACAAGAAAAAAGACCGCTTCACTTGAAGAGGTTGTGAAGTTGAGGCATCACCACAAACGACATGACATCGACGTCTGGTGTTTCCCAGAGTTTCGGGGGCCAATGTGTGTTTAAAGTGCATCAGGGTTGTGACGGCGCAAGGGTCGAAAGTTACTGAGGTGCCTTTGGGCTCAATGGCATCATGAGCAGCCAATTGAAGGCCCGGAATGACAAATGTCTCCGTGCGGCATTCTCCACAGCTGTAGAGTGCCGAGAGATTTGGAGATTGAGCTGAGGAGAAGCTGCTGCAGCACGGCTTTGCGGCTCTGCAACTCAAATCACATCATCCGCCAAACCCCCTTTCAGACGGTAGACCTGCCTTCGCAGATTCTGGGGTAACTTACGCCCGCAACTCTGCGCCCGCAAGATCGCACCCTTAAAGCAACCCCCAGTGAGCATCTCGGGCGTCACAGCAGGCGCAGGAACTGCTGCAAGAGCTCTGTCTGTCTGTCTGTCTGTCTGTCCAGCTGAGCCAAGCCCCGACCCGACGAGGCGGATCGCCTGAGTGAACCATGGCTGAAGCCGCCGGTGCAACTGCGACGGAGACCCCGCCTTGGTGGGCAGCGTTTCCTGCCCCAAAAGCCAAGTCTTTGGAAGTCGAGGCCGACGAGGTGATGGCGTTGCTTGAGGCTAGAGCTGCAGCTGGGCCAGATAGTCCCCGCGACTTTCTGCTCGTGGACGTACGCAGGAACGATTGGGAGGGCGGCACGATCTCAACGTCGATCAACTTCCCCGCCCAGACTCTGTACCAGACAAGGCCCGTCATCCATGAGTTGTGTAAGCAAGCTGGTGTCAAGCGAGTTATATTTTATTGCGGTGAGTAGCAATCCGCTCTAATCGTCTCTGTCCACAATACACACCACACACTCGTTAAGACCCCTCCCCCCCTTCTGAAGCCGTTGCACAGGTAGCAGCAACGGACGCGGCCCACGCTCTGCGAACTGGCTGCAGGATTACTTTGATGACGTTGGCGAGACCGCTGTGCAGGCCGTCATCCTCAAGGGCGGCATCAAGAGCTGGGTACGCAAGTACGGCGGCCGCATGATGGATTGGTATGACGGGAAAGCCTGGGCCGATCTTGCCAAGTGAGTTTCGCCGCATGGGAGCCCGATATCTGAATTTCATCAAATGGCAGCTGCGGCGGTCGTGGTGGTTCGCATTGAATGTGACATTTGCTGGTATCTAGCCATATTTCATCCCCGCACCTTTGTCTTGGAACCAAATGCATCTTTTTGTGCCGTCATAACGCCGAAGTGTAAAAGCCCCGCAAAAGCATTTCGTGGAAGTCGACCGTCGGGTCGTTAGGGATTCTAACCCCTCTGCTGGCGGTCGTCGCCGCCGATTCTCTCGAGTGCCTCCAGCATGACGACCGAGTTACCGCGGATGACCTAGGTGAGGTTAGTATTGGAAGAGCACATCCGACGTAGGAAGCGGGATACGTACGACCATGCCTAGCCTGACCTTCTCGCCGCCCTCCTTCTCCTCGACCGCCTCGTCCAGAACAATATTCAGGAAGACCTATGGAGCTTGTTAGCTCGGAACTCCAAACGAAAGAACCAGGAGTGTCGTACATCGTAGCCTCGGAGAACACCGATAACCTTGCGGCTGCCGTTCAATTGGACGAACAGTCTCTTGTCAAGGTACTGCGATAAACGTTAGCGATCATGATCCAGGACAGAAGGGGATGAGCCGATAGAGGAGGTGCCAACGTAGGCACTCTCCATTAATCTGGTTGTACGTCGTACAAGTCCGGAGACTCGGGAATGTCCGTGAGGAAAATGGGCCTCCGTACCTTCTTCAGCTCGGGCTGCGCGGGCGCCATCTTGTGCTGTCTGTCTCTGAGGTGTGGATGGGTTGGATGTGGGTGATGTCAATCGAGGCGCGAAATGGACTTTGCGACGCGACGAAGCTCTCGATGCTCTGTCTGCATGCCGAGGGGAGCCTGGCCTGGGCGGTGTCGAAATTTGGGTGGGTCACGTGGCGATAAGAAAGCTTATCTGCGCGTTCTCAAGGTGAGGTTCCCAAGCACCTGAGCGGCCGCAAATTATTGGAGCTTCAACACCTTCAAAATTCTACCGAAATTACATCATCTGTCAGGATGAGCTCGTTCACGCCAAAGAGGAAAGCCCGTGTGATCAAAGTCCACGACGAAGAGGATGACAATGCGTCAAAAAGCTCGCCGGAGCCAGTGAAGGATGGTGAGTCTGCAGTCCCCGTCCAGAGACGATGCGCTGATGCCGTTCGCAAGGCTAATGGGGTGGCAGACGGTGCACCGATAGCAGTAAAGTTCACGCGAAAGCCATTTCGACAGAGCGGCCTGCGAAAGAGCATCAACTTCAGCGAGGTCGACGACTCCAATGGTGGCGCTGCGATCAGCGACTCTGGCAAGTCCAAGGGCTCGGCGGGCTCGGCGCAACAGGACGACGACGAGGATGACGGCCCCGTGGTGATCCGTCCGACGGTCAGCCGTTCCGGGTCTCTGAAGCAGAAGAAACGCCAGTCTTCGTCGAGACTGTCGTTTGGTGGTGCCCAGGGCGGCGGTGACGATGGGGAAAAGACGGAGTACACCACACCCAAGAAGGCCACCCTGGGATACGCAGCTTTGGAGAACAGCGCGATCAAGAACCGTCTGCCGATGCGCTCCTTCCGCGACGAGGAAGAGGACCGGCCGAGATACAGCAAGGAATACCTGGACGAGCTACAAAACTCGACGCCCAACACGCCGCAGAACCTTACGTCCCAGCGCGTGCACAACGACGACGAGATGGACCTGGATGCATCTGAACTCGAGGGGGCACTGATTGTAAACTCGGACGAACTAGGCTCGCGCCCTCAGCAGACGAACATCCTTACCGACGTGGAGATCCAAGAGCGCAAAGAGCGCAGGGCACGATTAGCACAGGAGCAGTCTGGCGACGACTTCATTTCTTTCGACGACGATGAGGGTGGGGCTTCACTGCGCAAGAAGAAGGCCGACACCCGGCTTGTGCCCGAGGACGAGGATCTGGGTGAAGGGTTCGACGATTTTGTCGAGGACGGTGGGCTGTCACTAGGTAGAAAGGCCGAGAGGGAAGAGAAACTCCGCCGGCGGCGCGAGATGGCTGAGCAGATAAAGATGGCCGAGGGCGACTCTGGTGATGAATCAGACGCCTCGGAGGCGGAGCGGCGTGCGGCGTTCGAAGCAGCGCAGACGCGCTCTGGCATGGATGGTTTGGAGAAGCCTCAGACCAACCCGGCCGAGCACCTTCTGCAGGTACCACCCAAAATTACGCCGTTGCCGGACCTGTCAGAGTGCCTGTCGAGGTTGCAGATGACAATGCGGGCCATGGAGCTGGAGTTGGCAGACAAGACGAAGCGGGTGGAGGAACTGAGGCAGGAGAAGCAAAGCATCTTGGCCAGAAAGGATGAGGTGCAGGAGCTTCTCAACGAGGCTGGGCAGAAGTATACCAGCGCGGTCGGGACGTCATCTGCCGCGGAATCTGCTGCACAGTCGCCAGCAAGACAGATCACGAACGCTGGCGCCAGCGAGTTAAGGGTAGAGAGGGGGCTGGAGAGCCTGGGAACGACACCGAGTGAGCGCCCGGATCCAGATGACCTGGGTTAGTTGGGTTACGTACGTGCACCTAGCAAATTAATGATACCCAAAATAGACTGCTTTCATGGAAACATTGCTTCAATTCTTTGATTGTCTAAGAAATAACCTCTCCATAAACAGAGAGAAATGTCCTGCCAATGCCAACGCCGCGTGAGAATACACCTATGGTACAGACTACCACTTGCCAATTATAAGCACAGTCACTACACTCATTCCAATCCACCTTGAACTCGCAAAGCCTTGTCGTCGATGGTTTTACTTCGATCTGGAGACGCCAGCACCGATGACGCCAGGAAGCGGCTCCTCGCCGACGTTGAAGAGGAGGGAGATGGCGAAGTAGAGGGTGCCAATCAAAGCGATACCGAAACCAGTGAAGAGCCAGAAGGGAACGCTAACGTCAACCTTGCTGCAAGCAGGTCCGCCCCAGTGAGTGACGCTGCCAGTCTTGTTGGACTTGGTGGACAAGCAGGCGCAGGCAAAGCAAGTGCCGGTAGACTGGCCATCGGCCTTCTGATACTTGTTGACGCACTCGCCGTGGCCAGAGCAGTTCCTGGTGTCCTTGACACAGGCGTCGGCCGATGAGAAGCATGAGGGGATGCTGCCGCGCTTGATCTCGCCGGGGAAGGGGGTGGCGCTCTCGGCGGGGCTCGTGGGCGCGGGCTTGTCCTGCTTGTCGGACTCGGTCTTCATGACGGACTCAACCTGGCGGCGGCGAAGCTCCTCGGGCTTGGAAGACCAGTGACGAATCTGAGAGTTGCGGGAGGACTCGGGCATAGCAACGAGGATAGTCTCCATCTCGCCGTTCTGGGCCAGCTGGCGGAGGAGGGAAGCGTTCTCGGAGAGGGAGGTGATGATGGAGGAGTCCTGCGAGTCCATTGGCATTAGCATTTGGGCATCCATTATAGCGGTTGAGTTATTAAATTACCTTCTTGACGTCGTATCTGACGACGGACGACTTGCCACTCCAGCACTCCTCGGCAAAGGGGTTGATGGCCTTGTCGAACTTGCAGCCCTTCGGAGTGACGCCGACGTTCTGGAAGTCGTTGGCCAGCAGCAGTGTGTTGGCAGCGGCGGAGGGTGCGTCGCCGACCCTGAAGCTGGGTCCAGCACCCATGGACTTTTGAAGCGTCTTGGCATCATCGCCAGTGATGCCCTCGAGCATGACAACAAGCTGGGACGGGTTGGTGGAGACAGCGTTGCTGAACAGACCCTGCGGCGACAGGCCGAAGTCGTTCAGGTAGTTGACTGCCTTCTCGCTGGACATGGTCTCGGGGAGATCCCAGGTGCCATGCTGGCCCTCGGGAGACAGACGCTGGAGGAGGATGAGGCGGGCAATCTGTCGTGGTAATGATGGGATGTCGGAACTGGAGGTTGAGGTCTGCTTCGATTGCAGGAGATATACGTCAGCGGGCTGGTCGGAGGACAGCGCGGTCGCGACGCCAGCCAGGGCTGTCGCAAGCCCAACGGAGACCTTCATGATGTCGAACGCGGTGGATGGGGCTCGGGGATGGATTCGACGATGGGGTGTTGTTGACTGGTGGGCGAGCTTGATGCTGCAGGTGGCTGCTATCTCCAAGGCCAAAGCTGCGTCGAGTCGGCACGTAAGTCGACGGGAGCTGTCGCAGCACGTCCCAGGTGCCTGTCTGGATCCATTGGCTCGACCCCGTGGCGGGATCAAGGTGGCTAGTGCTGTCGGCTAAACCATTTATCCGACGGTGGCTTGGCCTCTTGAGGTGCCTGGGGTCGAGAGAAGTGGAGCAGGGGTCGTGCTGCCCATCAATGAGGGTGCCCCGTGCATGCTGAGAAGCCACACTGTCTGCTGCGCAATCGGCAGGCATCTTTCAGGGGCGCCGATGCACTGGCGGGGTGAGGGGCGGGAACCAACAAACACTGTGCGCCGACATGCATCTAGAACTCCGGCCGGGAACCTGAGCGGAGACACTGCACTGGGTCGGCAACTTGGTGGCAGCAAGACACAGAGAGCCGCGCAGCGCAGCCGCAGCGGTTGTTCAGTTTGATGTTGGAGACGCCTCGGGCTGCCGTTGCCTCTGGAACAAACAACAGCCAAAAGCTGCATTCGAGTCGCGGCAAACCACGTCAGCCTTGCTAGAAGTGCCGCGCCGTCTGTGTCACTTCTTTCATCCTCTTGTTCGCATTACTACACGGTCGTCTGCCTGCCGTCCCGTCACTTCCATCCCATCCCACCTCCGCCGGGCAACCCACGTCGATTCGCATCAGTCATCGCAGCCACCCAACCTTCGTCCGTCTCCCCCGACTCCGATTTCCCGACTGGTCCATCGCTGCACGAGAGGGATATCCTTTTGCTACCGAACCTACCACGGCCGCCGTCGCTCGGCGTGCCCCTCTGAATACACGATGTGGCGCTTCTTCAGGCCACGCGCCAGCACTCTCGCTGCTCGGGCGCTCGCCCCGAAGGTCCAAGGCCAACAGACCATCGTCGTCCAGAGGGTGAAGGTTACAAAGTCTCGATTCAGGGCCAGGTGCGCACCCGTTCCTTCCGTTGCCGTTGCTCCATCAGACCCCAGCTGACTTACTACCAGGTCATTCTTTCTCGGCGCAGGCATCTCGCTCGCCTGTTGGCAAATGTACTGGTCGACCGTCCTCAACCCGTTCTTCCGACATGTCGACCGCGAATACGAGAGTCTTTCGGCCGCTGAAAAGAAGGCGCTAGATGAGGAGATGGATGAGGAGACCGAGCCATGGTTTATTCCCTTCCCGTTTACTACGAAACAAGTCAGCCAGCCGCCGTACAAGGGCACCGACCCGGAGTGGCGACAATACGTGAGGGTCAGCAAGGATAAGGAGCTGCAAAACCACATACGGAGTATGGATGATAGTCCGACTAGGATCGCGATAGATGCTGACTCTGGTGTACAGCTGACCTGGCCCACTGGGTGCGAAGCGCTGTTGAGAGGCACCCTACCTTGACGGCAAGGTGTGGCAATGTGGTGAACCTGCGGAGATATTGGCTGGACATAGATTTTCCATACCGTCCGCCCCCAGTATACTACTCTTCTGGGTACGTTGTGCTCTGGTTTATACCCTAGACAGATATGCCCCGTACTGACACGGCGCAGTTTGCTGATGCAGGATGATGGACTTTACTGGTCAACTCAACCGGTCGACTCTTTAACAGTGAACAGGCTGCGCAAGATTCTCTGGCCAGAAGCCATGACACTCTCGACATGGGCCTTCACGTCGGCTCTGGTGAAGCAGCACTTCGAGGGCATCTCTCGAGCGCTCGGTTTCGAGCCTAGCAAGCCGATGTCGCCGTTCCCGTCATTACCCGGCGGCAATGTGCAGCAGGCCAAATCTGAAGGGCCGCTGCCCTCAGCTAACAGACAGACCCCGGACGGAACTCCTGCAGAGAACGCCTCCCACGATGTCAGTAAGACTTCTGACTCACGACAATCTGGAGAACCCGAGAGCGGCGGCAGGACCAACTTCGTCAGGGATACAGCCATGTCTCACATCGAAGGCATGAAGCAGATCACTGATGGCCCTGCCCGCGAGTTCAGAAAGAAACTGGCACAGTCATGGAAGCCTACCCGATCTTATCCTCCGCGAGGCTGCATCCTGGTGTCCGGCTTTGTCGAGATCGAGCTGCCCAGGGGCTTCGTCGTTATTGACGTTTGGGGCCACTGGAATCCCAAAACGGAAAAGTTCGAACCCAGATCGACCTACATGATACTCAGAAGAATACAAATGAAGCAACAAGCCCCCGCTCGGGGCTGAGCAGACTATACAAAGGCATCTTTTTGCATATTGGCGGCGTTGGGTTAGCGGTGAGCATTTTATTATCTTGGGGTGTCGTCGGCATCGGTTTGGTGGCATGAAAACACCAGCGATTATCCGATTGGGGTTGGGCAGGTCTGCCAGACCTTTCCAAGGCGAACCTGCATTCCATACAATGATGGAGTAAGCGTTCTTCTATTCATTATCAGAGATACCATAGATTGCGTGAGGCGGAACGGTTTCGGGGGTTCAAAAGTCCTCTCACAATTCCTTGCTCATAAATTTGCTCACGCCTAGTTTTCTTGGCTTCTACCGTGCGTCTCTGTTTGCTGGTGGCATTTCATGTCTGTGATCTTCTCCTGGTGCCTCGACCACCCCCGCCCCATCCATTTCATACAGATGTCGCCCTTCCAGCTCTTTCACGCCTGTGTACTTTTCCGAAGTAACTTCGCCGTGCACCTCTGCTTTGGTTTTCTTTGCGTGGCGCCGGTAAAACCAAACCGCCGCCAAAAGGGCTAGACCCGCAACAAATACACCAACTCCAACCCCAATGCCCGCAATCGCGCCGACACTGAGGCCCGAAGAAGGTTCATCGGGTGTGTCTGTTGATGTCTCTGCCGGCGCGGTTGCAGCCGCAGTGGCAAATCCGTCACTCGTGCTCGTCGCGTCATGGCTTGGGGAGCTTGTCGTCGTCGTAGCTGTTGCCGCCGCCGCTGTCGCCGTCGTCAAAACCTGGCCCACAGCGTTGCCAACCGTCGCGGCAGGGAGCTTGAAGACAGCCGTCGAAGTACTGCAGCACCGTGTCTTTTCCCGGTCCGACTCGCAGCAGTATTCCGCCTCCGCGCCGTACCCCTGCCGGTCACACTCCCACACTTGGACGCCGCTGCTGCGGAAATCGTAGGCCGAGGAGTTGTCCGGGGAATCTTGGTCTTGGTATGCGTTCAGCTACGTCGTGTCTCGGTGGCGAGGGAAGGGGGCTTCTTACTCAAGAGACACTGCTTCGGGCACAGGTCGCTGGTCCACTGCGGGTCGGTACACGTCCCGCGGGCGTAGCTATTTCCGCTGCTAGATGTCGTGTCGTCGAGGAGGCAGAGGCCGTTGGATAGACACGCTTTCGATGAGCCGCAGCACATGCTCACTGGGGCGGAGACGTTGCATGGCACGTCGGTGCTCTGTCTGCCGTTGGGAAAGTAACAGAGGAGCTGGGCCGTGGCCAGTTGCAGTGCTGCAACGACGACGAGAGTGCCGCTTGCCAACATCGTTGAAGTTGTTTTTCTGGTGCCAATGGACGGATCAGGAACCAAATGGAAAGGAGTTCTGGAAACATGGAACTTGACAGATGTGAAAGAGGATTCGGCGGCAGATTTAATCGATGGATGTTCACCCCGCACCAGTATAAGGCTGGTGGGAATGACACCACGATCCCACTCTAGTTGGGTCTGGTGCGACTTCCGAATGGTCCTTCAAGTTAATTAAAGATCAGACTTCACGTTGATGCAGGGATTCAGCAAACCGACGGTCTGTCATGGGCGTTTCTTGGCTAATTTGGTGGCTGAACCCCCTTCCTGCGCATGGCGCTAAGGCGGGAGAGGCAAAATCGAAGTTGAGGGCCCGCTAGCTTCTCAGCCCAATATCTGTCAATGTGGGATTCTCCTTCGTCAACCTGCGAATCTCTCAGGAGGGGAACAGAGTTATCATAGAAAGATAGGGGAGAATAGACCGCATCAATCAAAACGTCTCTTGCGTCACAACTCGATGAGCACTGGGGCTGGCTCTTTTCAATACGGTAACGGACTTCAACTCATGAAAATCAGACACGCGATAGTTCACATGGGAGAACAAACCGCTGTCCCGAATTTGGCGTGAGAAGCGAGCAATATCAGCGTAAAAGTCATCTGGGAAGACGAATCATGATCCGCGGCCACCACCACAGATACCAAAATGGTGTTCAACTGTACGATGCAAGGCAATTAAGCTTATTTTGACGCCCATGTGCAGGTTGTTTTTGGCTTGTTGCATTAGTGTCGGCTATCCACCTCGCTGATGTGCGTTACGGCTGCGGTGCTTCACTGCCTTTCCACTTAAAGAAAAGACAGGCTTCCGATCAGAGAGGTGCCTGTTTCCTTTCCAGGCGTCTTGATCCAATGCAAAATGCTGACCTTTTATTCAAGAAAGAAGTTGCGGTGCGGAGATGCGTGAGGAAGGACCAAAGCGCACGATGCCACTGCCCCAATGAGGCCTCAATCAACCCGCAACGTGGATGAGGCCAAACGACCTCCACTGTCAGCAGCCGCCATTCGACTCACACGGCGACATAACAAACCTTCGACAAGCGGCCTCAATGTTTTCGCCCATTATTTAACGTCCAGTCTTCTTCCAGTGTCCATTATCCGTCTTCCATCTTCTTGTCAGCAGGCTCTACCCTCCATTCATCAACGAACATCGCCAAAGACATCCCAACCACGCTTCTCATAATAGTTGGCGCTCCCTGTATACTCGCTTTTATCGTCTTTTTCGTCGTCGTCCGTCGTCGTTGTCCCCTATCTTCGTCTGCTGTCGTCGTTTGCTGTCGTCATGGCGTCACAGGCCCATCTCCGACAACGCCTTCTGCAGGATATCGCTGAGCTTCAACGCGAACCCTATCCCCGGATTTCTCTTCGCACGAGAGATGAGGATCTTGAAACAGCTTGCCTGGTTGTCCAGGCCGAGGGTTGGATGCCGATTCACATGACCATCGAGTTTGGAGACCGATACCCTCTTGTCGCCCCCAGAATCAAGATGGACACGAAGATGAACCATCCCAACGTCTTCAGCTCGTATATTTGCGCGTCCATTCTTAACACATCCGAGGGATATACGCCCGCGTACACCCTCAAGGGCATCGCTATCCAGATGCTGAGCTTCTTCAACAGCGAGAACGTCGAGCAGATATATACTGGTGCGAAGTACGGTCTCAAGCACTTTCGGCAAGAGAGCTTGGCCATGAAGCAGACTTTCGTCTGTTCCCGCTGCGATTTCGACGGCACGCAGACTAAAGCGGATATTAGGAGACTTCGCCGGTATGCCACAAAAGCGCAGCCCCCAACCGAAGACATCCAGACGGAGCAAGAAAGACACCAGCAACTTCAGTGCACCCTCTCCAAGCTGCCGGACGAGTTGATCTTGGACACTCTCGAGAGTCTTGACTTTGAGGAGCTGATTGCGTTCTCCCACGCCTGGCCAAGGGTCGCTAGAATTATCGCAGATTTTGACCTGATTCGCCTGCGGGAGCTTCAATGCTTCTTTTCCAAAAGGAACTTCCAGAACGCGAAGCTCGGCGTGGGAGTCGAAGTATTAGGCCAGGGGAAGCGTTCAATCGAATCCGAATTCGACCTAATCTCTCAAGAAGCCTTCCTCGATCTTGGCATCCGCCTATCCGTCCACAACCTCCGCTTTCAATATTGGCTTCCGCTTCCCATTTCACGCCGGCACTGGAGATGCGTCAAAGAGGACGTCCCTCCCGTCTTGGATGCCATTGCAGGCAAGGCGAATCTGCCAAGTCGGTCTTCTGTCGACGTTCTTGCAGCCTTCATGAACGACATTGTGGTGCGACTCAACCAAGTTGAGGCAAAGTCGGCGCTGAGAAGGCCGTCACACGACTATGATAATGACCGGGTGAGCCGGAAAAGCACCCTTCGCCATGCGTCAGAGAAAGCGATAGAGTCCTATTTCCATCTGTACCACCTCCTTCTCTGCCTCGCCACGAGCGACGAATCGCTCGTGAGAGCCGCGAACGCCAAGATCCAGGACTTCATGAAGGGCCAAACCTCCAAGGAAGCCTGCCCAAATCTCGGCCATCTTCTCGTCTATCTACTCATCAGCGATGCAGCAATCACGGAGAAGATGCGCAAGGCCATTATTACAGAAGCTATCACGCGGAACGTTGTCTGGATGCTCGACAAGAGGGGTGCGAACAGGGCGGAACTCAGTTACCTGGAACCGGACAAGGTCTCGACATTCCGCCTACGCAAGACCTTCGAGGCAAGCCGGACATCATATCGCCTGTTGATGTTCTCCGAGCTTTTCCGTCGCATCGCCAGGCCATCCAACGAGAGGAGCCTGGTTGAGGTTCGGGATGAGCTGTTCGATCGCCACGGTGCGCCACCCCAAGGGGCTGCCCTCCAGTTGTCGACTGATGTCCGTCGCCTCCATGACATCGACAACTTCCACGACTTCTTCGGCGAGATGGGTATCGAGAACAAACCGAGCGCAGAGTGGTTCACCTCTCATTTGCGAGAGTGTGTGAGGAGCAGCATGGCAAGGGGGTACTCTGTGTGGGGTCTTCCGGCGACTACTGCGCTGGCTCTCAGACGTCAACTTGAGCCAAGTGTCGGTCTTTACGGTGACCAGTATGTGAAAGCTCCGCCAGCGGCTTCGAAACTGCAAGGCATCACCTTCTTCCCCAAGAAGAAAGGTCAGCAACGACAGGTTACTCGAAGATAGGAAGAGGGGCCAGGAGTTGAAGGCGCAAGGAGTTGGATGTGATACTCAGGAGATGATCCTTTTTTTATACCATGTAGCTTTCCAAGAGCTTTGCTATGCAGATAGTGTCCAACACACGTTCCCCTAATCCACACATCCTGCTGAGACACTCTGTTTTTTCTCATAAGTCCTGAAGCGACTTCGTTTCTTAATACTCGCTTCTGCTTTTGCTGTCGTCGTCGTCATCGTGATCATCATCTATTATTATCCTCTATTATTTTCCTATATCGTCGTTATCCTTCCTATTCTCGTGCTATCATCCTCATTAAATGATCAGGTACACTGAGGTTAAAGTCATAGGGAACGCTGCCCAAATAAGTAAGTCACACTGCCCAGCTAGTGAAATGGTTTTTCAATAAATCTTAATTCCTCAGTCAAATCTTCGTTACTCATCATCACTAGCGTGAGTAAGGTAACAAAATATATAAAGATATAAACAAAGAATTCAGTTATCGACAATAACGGTCTAAATATCAATTGCTGTGATTATATATCATTTAAATATCCACATGTGAAATAAAATGAAATACTCAAACATTAAAAGAGTTCCATCTGCCTGTTCTAGGCGTCTGTCGGGCAACCGGGCCTGAAGCTGGCTTCACCTTAGCTGATCCCACCGACTGGTGCCAGTTTGACCAGAAATTACAAGCATATGATCTCCATTATGATCCGATGATTTTTAGGGGCAGACCAGCATGTGAGGGAAAGGGGGCCAGCAGGAGACTTAGACATTAGAGGTGAGTGTCGGTCAGAGAATTAGGATAGTGTCGGTGAGTGTCGGTGGATCTCGGTAAGATTCGGTGAGAAAGTCTGCCTTCGGTCAGGCAGAATGTCTCTGTGCACGGACCACTTAAGCTGTTCAGGGTCTACCTCCCCACCCGCATCCCCCAGCTCTTCCCTCTTCCAACGTCACCTCGTCCTTCTCTCTTCTTCATCTTCGTCTGGTAGGACCACCCCGGCACAGGACTCGGCTGGAGTCCTAGCAGGACTCCGTGATACCTTCTCTCAACGTCAGGCATGCGCAGACACTCAATTTAGTAGATGCGCTTGCATTTCATTTCATTTCATTTCTGGGCCCAATGGTTTATTCCTCCCTTGACTTACAAGCAACATCGTGATGCTGTATTGGTGGCTCTGCATGCGTGCGGACACTACGAGCATCGACAACGTCGACGACCTCACTCACAATAGTATCCAATGCATCACTCCGAAGTCTTTTGGTACGGATTTACTCAATTCGTTAACTTTGCGATTTCCAGGCAGTTCCTTTCTGAAGGAATCGGTCAAGGATCATCATCTCCAACGCCCAGCGCCAGATCGATACCATCGTCACATTAGCCCAAACCGCCATCGGCTCAGCATGATGGCATAAGCTGGGCCATTTTCATCAACACAATTAGGGAAACAGCAAAAAATTCGCGAAACCCGTTGTCACCGGCTCCAAGCCACCACTCAATTCCTCAACGTCTTCCTCCGTCCCTCCACCCCAGACATATAAGCCAAGGCATCGTTCACTAAAGTGATGGTCAGTCGCAGATCCACTTATGAACACCAAAAGGTGAGATCGTGAGGTGCGGGGTAGTGCTTACGCTGCGAATCGACCCTCTCTCGACCAGCGAGGTACCACGTCTCGTTGACCCTGTCCTCTTCCCTCTCGTCGCCCAGACAGGGGAAGAATTGGACGTCTGTTGAGAGGGGAGCGAGGTCTGGTGTGCGAAGACGGGGGATGCGGGGTGCCCGTGGTGGGAGCGCTGCTTCGTAGGGTACCAGAGCGGGTTCCGGGACGTCGTCGGGGAAGAGGATGAAGTCGTCCTCGGGCGCAGCCAAGAAGTCCTTGGAGTCGAGTTCATCATCAAAGAGGGGAGCGTCGTGGAAGCGATGAGCCTGGGAGAGATGGGTGTCATGGTGGCTGTTGTGGTCACTCCATGACCCGATTGCGAGGAGGCTGCTCTCACTCCGGTCGCGTTTGTGCGATTTGCTGGTCCTCGGGGGTGTCCGGGGCTTCTTGCGAGGTCTCTGGGTGCTGTGGGAGTACTCCTCGGTCATGTGACCCGGGAGAAGGCCAGGCGAGTAAGGTTCTGAGTAGAACCCGCGTGGCGAGGGCTGGTTGAGCGATGTTGGTGTAAGCCGGCCGCGGGGGCTGAGGAGAGCAGGTGTGGTGGTGAAACGGTGAGGGGAACTGTTGCCCTGCGATGACGCCATGCTGTGGTCCATTTGAAGCGATTGACGATTTGGTGATCTGAGGAGCGGTGATTTTGTGGCCTCTGAGCGGGACGAGAGGGTGACGGGTGCGAGTGCCATTATTAGGTGAGCCCTGTCTACTGATGAGCATTGTGTAGTAGAGAGAGGAGAGTGTTCATTGTCATGATGGATGGTGATTACCTGGTGGTCTAAGTGGGAGTATGAGGAGGAGTGGTTGAGATGAGGTGGTGAGGGCCTCCAGTGAGGTGGGAAGCCCGGTGGAGGGGGAGGGGCAGCTCCAAGTGGTAGCTGAAGGGGATTGGTGGTGTTGAGTGGTCTGGGCAAGGTGCAAAGTGATGGCCAAAGTTGGTTTTGGGTGCCAGGAGAAAGTTCTCTGATAAAAGTGAAGAAGCCAGAGGAAGAGGGAGAGGTTGAGGAAAGGAGGGTGGTGGGATGCCAGCGGGTTTTATGTGGTGAGTGTCCCTGCTGCGCACTCTCCTCGGTCTGGACCAATGAGAGGGCAGGATTGCACTCACCCCCGTTGAGCACCTCGTCCCGACCCGACACACCTTGCCCTGCACTACCCTCCTCTTCCTTCTGATGGCATCCAAGTTGGTATCATCACCAAATCGGCCCTTTGGAGTTCACCGATTCAATGCACTTGCTCGCAGGGTTCAGGAGACGTCGTTGGATGATGCTGGAAGCTGTTGGTGAGCCTTGGAGTCAGCGTGTCGAGGCCAGTGGTGGTGATGGCTTCTTTTTATTTTTCGTTGTCAATCCCACCTTTGGTATTGTCCTTTATGCCTTTATGTGCTCTGGGGAGATGAATCATGCTGTTACGTCTCCTTTCACTCGTCTGGGTCGTGGCTGTCTTCTTGGTGTCCTCGGAGAACTGCAAGTCTGACAGATTCATTGCGGGCATTCTGACTTTTTGTCTTTGGCTTGAAGGGTCATATGAGAGGAATTTGAGTGATGGAATCGAATGGATGGCAATGCTCGTCAATTCTTGCATTTGATGGTGGTCCTCTGCGATGCCGTATGAAGTAGATACGGAAGATGTGGTGTCATGTGACCCTCCCACTCTCACTACCTGCCCTGTACACCCTCCCGCTAACGCCCCGTTGCCTCCCCAGCTTTCGTCCCCCACTTGCCTCTCGTCCTCGCCTCTTCTACTCATCCTTCATAAGGTACTCATCCCTCCTGCTCACCTAATCCACTTCCCTCCCTTCCAACCCTTCTCGTCCATCGCTATCGATAAAACGATGCTCTGGTCCCCGAACCTATATCCCACCATCCAGTCATCAGAAGTCGATCAGGTCTCTCAGTAGCCCCTTCATCTCTGCCAATGTTACCTCGTCGTCCCGCTTGATTTTGCCTGCACATTCCACTAGATCATCATGATCCCGAGCCTACCTCAGGCTTGCTGCATAGTTTCCTCCGTCAAGACGACACCACTTCAAAAGCTGTGAAAGCTACTGGCGCCGACGTCCCAGTCAAAGTCAGGCTGACGTCCACCCTCCCACCTCCACCACCAAAAGTCCACTCTCGTGAAGAAGTTGAGCTTCTTGAGGCGCTCCGAGTCCCAGAAGAAAAGCCCAAAGAGCCGGCAGTTGGTCATGCGCAGGTCATTGTTGGCGAACCCGGGGAACCACTGGTACGCCCAAAACCATGCCTCTTCGGGCCCCTTGTCGGTGTCATCGGTGACTATGGATCGCCGCATGTGTTCTTTCCACTCTTCAGGCGTCCATGCCGTCACGGCTTTCTCGATGGGCAGGTCGAGAGTGTTTAGCTCATTGCATTTGTCGACGGCATCGGAGAACCATACATAGATGTCGCCGACTCGGTTGTAGCTGGCATAGCGTGGTTGCTGCGGAAGTGAGGCGAGGAGCTGATAAAATTTGGTAGCAGGCGTCATGGAGACTTTGAAAAGGAACTTGATACCGAAGCACAGGAGTCTGGCTTGGTTTTGCTTGATGTGGCAGTCGCCCCGCTCCAGGTTGGGCGGGAGGATGGGACCGGTCCAGTAGACCACTTGTGCTCCGTTCCTGGGGCCGCAGTGGTGCTTTGATAATGCTTCTAACTTTCTCAACTCTACGAGAGCATGCAATGCTGGAGGAACAAGTCAGACATAGTGGAGATACGACGGGGAAATGTTGCTCACGGGGTCCGATGACTGCAGCTGCGAGGTAATCTCTCACTGCGACGAGCTGCTCCATCTCCCAAGGCGAGAGGTAGTCAAAGAAGTGTGCTCTCTGGAAGTTGACGACGTCGAGATTGAACCGCACGACTTCTGGATCCTTGAACAGGTTGCAATAGACCTCGAAGCGGTAGAGTGCCCGTTGGAAGCGGGCCGTTTCTAGTGCGGAGGGCTGATCCGCTACCGGGGGAGGTTGTGGCCAGTCTCGGCGGTCGCTTGCGAGGCCTACTTGCTCTTTGGTGAGACGCTGCAATGCGAAGTCTTGAAACTTGGTTGTGAGATGAAGAGCGCACTTGTGCAGATCTGATAAGGCAGCTCCGTCGGCGAGGCTAATCTTGTGAGGGATGAGGGGCCGCTCTTTGACGTATTTGTCGCTATAGTCAACGACAAGATTGAGGTCTTTGGAATCAAACCTTGAAGACTCCAGAGCCATGATTGTGTCTGGCAAAACTCGTTGGTCGATTTCGTTTAGAATGACCTGGCGACATGCTGAAGGGGCGCAACGAAGCCACGTTGGAGAGGTAAGGGCTGCATTTCTGAGAGAGTTGAAGTCGGGGAGATGGGAGAGCACAGAGACCCAAAGCTCGTCTGGAAGTGCGCTTTTCATTGTTTCAGTCGTCATCGTTTCTTAGATAAGCCGTGATAGATGTTGCGATGAGTCTACTGAGTCGACAAGAATCGTGAAACCGACCCAAGGTTTAGTCAGAGAAAAAAAAAAGAAAATGAAGCATGAGAAGTAATGTAATGAACAAGTGCCAGACTCAATGATTTAAAGAAGGGGCTGGCAGCATGTGAAGTGAGCGGGGCTTGGCACGGTGTCGTTCCTCTGCTAAAGAAGTCCGTCTTTTGAAGTTGCGCCAACGGAGCCCCTGAATGACATGCACTGTCGGGATTGTGGAAATCAAGCACCAACTGAACAGTACAAGTTTCCTTTGGCCCGTTCGGTTTTCGTTTGCGACCGCAGTATGTACACGAAATCAAGACGGAAAACGATGAAAAAAGAGGGCAGATAAGCCGGGTATTTGCAAGAAGTGTCGTCGCAGGATGGATGATACTGCGCCGCGCCTGACCCCCCGCGGATGCGTCAAGTCCGCGCAACGGTGGTGGAGGGCCGTGTGGGTACTCGACCGCTGCTGCCGCTGGAAAGTACCCGCACGCCATCGACACTGGACTCCCCGAACACTCCGAAACGGTTGTGGCACAGCTTCGGACATGGCTGTGCATTTGTGGCTTTCTCCACTAGCCACAAGTTTTCTTCCAGCCACAAGACTGGAGTATGTGGCTGGTGTGCTAGTCCTTATCCGGCTAGCGCTCAATTGCTCTCAAGTCCTGTCTGGTGCTTGCGAAGGTTCAGCGGATTGATTGCTGGCCAGCAGCTCCCGTCGCGCGTCAAATCCCTTCTCGGCGCCTGCCTTACGGACCTCTTCACGAACGTCACCTCAACAGCCGCATCCCATTTCGCGTGGCCAAGTCGCGCATTTACGAAACGACGACCAATTCGAGCTCACGTTATCTGCATTTCGATTCCGAATCGCCGCGATGGGCAAGAAGCGCGGCCACCCCGACGTCGAGGACGTCCTATCTCGACCGTGGTGCTACTACTGTATGCCCAGCTCATGCTTGCTTCCATTGCCTAGATGCTCATGCTGACTTGTTGCCAGGCGAGCGTGATTTTGAAGATCTGAAGCTTCTCATTTCTCACCAAAAGGCCAAACACTTCAAGTGCGACCGATGCGGACGTCGTCTGAACACAGCTGGAGGTTGGTTGAGCTTGCGCCGTCGTCTGCAAACTGTCGCAAGCTAACGTTTTTGCTTCTCCAGGTCTCTCCGTCCATCTGAACCAAGTCCATAAAGAAACTCTCACCCAGGTCGAGAACGCGCTGCCCAACCGCCAGGGGCTCGATGTCGAGATCTTCGGCATGGAGGGTATCCCCCAGGACATCCTGGACCAGCACCGAAACCGCATCATCCAGAACTTCTACCAGGCCCAGGAGGATCGCCGCATTGCCACTGGCAATCCTTTGCCTGGACAAGCAAAGCAGCCGCGCAAGAAGCTCAAGGTTGAGACACCTGAGGAATTGAAGGCGCGTCTCGCTGAACACAGAGCAAAGAGGGCCGCTGGGCAAGTTGGAGGAACCAGCGGCAGTCCCGCCAACGGCGCCCCTGCAAGCGCAAGCCCTGGTGCATTCGTATGTGGAACTATCCTGTTAACGGCAGTCTGTATTCTAATAAGCGCTGCAGAACAACTCTCCTTACCCCCCACCCCAAGCACCGTACGGCGCTCCTCCCGACCAGACCTACCCGCCTGGAGCTGCACCTGGCGCTCCCCAATATCCCCAACAGGGATACCAGTCCGGCAACTACAACGGCTCTTCGCTGCCGGCGAGGCCATCAAGTGGCCCACAGGCGGCTGCCGTTCTTCCGCAACGACCGCCTCAGTACGGCGGCCAGTTCTGGAATGGTACCGGCGCTCCGCCTCAATACCCTGGCGCATCGACTGTCGATGAGCTGGTATCGGGTGCGGCGCAGCACGGCGACGAGATCGACGAGCTCATCCGCAGGGCCGAGTCTGGCATCAAGGCCCCGAAGCCGGAGGACGAGGAAGCCGCTGGAGAAAAGAAGTCGAAGAAGGACAAGGAAAAGAACGTCAGGATGGTCTACGCCGATACCGAAGTCAGTCCGGAGGAGCGGATGGCGCAATTACCCAAATACGCCTGGACGCCGGTTGCCTCGTGATCAATAGCCCTGTTCGAGCTGGACGTCGGCCGACGACACGGCGATCTCAAAATGCCCGACTGGCGGCCCAACGATGTTTCCACGCGAGATTGCGAATTTC